TTTTTTCAATCACTTTTGATCAATTTAATGCATCCTTGCAGAATTAGTTTTTTCCCCAAAAAATTTACTGACCCAAAGTTTTGAACATCAGCATAATCCAGTTAACAGCAACCTAAATTATTTTCTAGTAGTCTATTCCTCCTAGGAAAAAAAGTAAGGTATTACTTTAGAAAACTTGGAATAGCATGGACTACTTTTTGTAATTTTGAAACTTAAAATACCCAGTTCAATATTGAATATTTTGTATTATTTCAAAGAAAAAAGTGACTTCGGGTTTGAAGCAACATGAATGTTGGTCTAATTTTTGAACATGTTTACCACAGATATACAAGACCATTTTCTTGACCTTTCAAAAAACAGCCAGAAAATAGTTGACTGATAAACTTGTACTTGGATACTTTTTAACATGCTTTTGTCTGTAGGATCTTGGTCTGGCAACGGTCTGGGATGATCACCTGTCATACCTGCTGTCGGCAGCGCTGTCGGCGTATGAACTAGAGCGCTGTACAGGTGTGTCGTGTGGAAACGAGGAGTTTCAGGATGCCGTGAGAAGAGCGGTACCTGACGGACACACTTTTAAAGGCTTTCCTATTCATTTCTTGCACCGTAATGCACGCAGGGCATTCGCTACCTGCCTCAGGTACCTGCACAAACAAACAGAGCTACCTATAATGCCTTTTTTATTGATATGTCACTTAAAACAGAAGCCATTTAAAGAAGTAGCAACAACAAAATAAATCGCAATTTTGTTCAGTGCTGTTAGTGCTCAAAAGTCACATTGTAGCTTTAAAGACAAACCACTAACATCTAAACTTGTTTTCTTATGTATCACTCAGGTCACCGTTCTGTGACGAGATTGTTTGCTGCCGAGGGGATCATGTGCGACTGGCGGTGAGGGTTCGTGTCTTTGCCTATCCAGAGTCAGCTTGTGCTGTGTGGATCATGTTTGCTTGCAAGTACAGATCAGTGCTGTAACTGAAAGCAGTATGACCATTCACCTCAGGTTCATAGAATTCACAAATCTCCTTTACAGCTCCTTAAACTAATCTGCTGGGTCTGGAGTATTATTATGAGTTTTGCAACTACATGTATGCCATTTAAATCTATGCTGCTCATATATGTGCAGTACAATTACAATTGTTTTACATGTACTGTGTGTTTGTGTCAGTTGGAGGCTGTTAAATTGGTATTTATGGATATATTTTTCTAAATAAATCACTTTTACAATGCCTTTATTTATCCTTGGCATGGTTTCCAATCTCTTGTGCCATTTAACTTACCAATTTGTCAGTTTCATTCATTAATTAATTCATTCATTTATTCAGGATTCTTTGGCTAGAAAGTTCAAAACAATATAATTGATTTGAAACAAATCTTTTGTAACATCATAAATATCTTTACTGTCAATTTTTTTTTTAATCAGTTTAATGTGTCCTTGTAGTGAAAGTATTAATTTCTTTCTTTATTTCTTTTCTTTTTCTTTTGATTTTTAAATCTTACTTACCCCAAACCTTTGTATGGTAGTGTATCATGCCTTTTACAAAAGTATTAAGCAGCACATTTTTAATATTACATCAGAAGTTTGTTCAAAAATATTAGTTGAGCTTAAGCTTCTTAGCACTGGGTTTTATCAGCCGAAAATATTTATAAAACAAACCAAAGTATTTTCACCAATGTACTGTATTTAAATGTTAACATGTATTTTATTAAATTTTTTATATATTTGTTTCCTAATGACAATATATATATATTTGTACATGTAAACAGGCAATTTAATGAATAGTACACTCTAAAAAATGCTGGGTTAAAAAAGGGACAAACCCAGCTGTTGGGTTGTTTTGACCCAGGGTTGGGTTGTTTTGACCCAGCTGTTGGGTTGTTTTGACCCAGGGTTGGGTTGTTTTGACCCAGCTGTTGGGTTGTTTTGAATAAAAATGCTAACAAGTGAACGCAACAAAAACCGGTATGTCTATGCAGTTTTTGGCCAGGAGATGGCAACATACTCTTAGAAATTTTTTTTTTTTTTACAATTGTAGACTTGATCCTATAGGTAAGATGAGCCAATATATCCTGATCCGTCCTCATGCTACAGCACATTTATTGAACCCAAAGCAGAGATGAGCTTGCATTCTCTTTAAGATGACCTTTGTGATCATGTTCCTTTTGTGGTATTTCGAGTCATTAGCAAATCTGGCCAAGTATTCAGAGAATCCACACTAAACCACAAGAGCACATCTTGTCTCTCCAAGGTTGCATCATTGTCTCCTCCATAAGCTTCTAATTAACAGGTACTAGTTGCCATGGCTGCCACGCAGTTCCACTTAGAATGGAAGCAAATTTGTGTTTTACACTGAAACATATATGCTTTTACAAACAAGCTATTTTGTTTAAATCCTGAAATGTGTCTGATGAGTCATTATTGTGCTAGTTATTAGAAATCATTTATGCTGATCAAGATCAATTTAAGGTTGTAAAAAGAAAATGAAGTAGGCCTACAAATAAAAATAGCACAATGTGCTAAGAGGACATGGTCATCTGAAACACATGGGTGCTTGATGTAACACATTGCATATGAACATTGTCCACCTTCTTTGTGTTCCACAGAATAATTACTTTGCAATGTAGAAGTAGGCTTTTTTTATTTTGTGAATGTGCAAGATTTCAGATTCATTCGACAATTCAATAAACACTACAACAGTTCGTTACAGTGTGTTTATGATTACGATAATAAATTAAAATAATGTTACCAGTTTGCAACATCAAACCGCCTATAGTAGTGCTTGAGATTTTCAGGGGCTCTTCCAGTAGGTTACAAGGTTGCGCCGCCAGTAGGTGGCGACAGGTAGGTCACTTTTGATTGAGTTATTGAATCATTCACTCATTCCATTCCTTCACTGAACACTGA